TTTTAAATTTAAGGCGCATATTAACAAATCATTCTTTAAAACTGTATTAATTTGGCAAGAGATTGTTATTTTAAGTTTTGGAAAGAAACCGATTTTTAAAGTAAGAATTTAGAAAAACATAGTATAGGTTAACTATACATAGGTCTGATTGCTTTAATATATAGCCAACTAATATATATTAACCCTATTAGCATAGATATTTTTTTATTTTGGAATGAAATCATATCCATTTTAAGAAACCAATATTCTACTAATAGAATTCAATTTACTACTAGAATATGCTTGTAAGTCTTAAAAGGATAAATTACCTTTTTACGCTTTTAAAGCATGAAGAAAATTTCATAACGTAACGTAGGAAAATATAAGGTAAATTATCTACGTAAAAAGAAAAATAAAGCAATTTGCTTACCTGGCTCCGAAGCCGAGACTCGAACACTGAACCGCGCGGATGAGCCCGAATCAACTTAATGATTTCAATCAACGGCTGTGATTTATTCCCCGCCGTTTTAATATTACCGCCGCCGCGTATACTACTATCCTCGCCGCTAATGTATCTGTGCCCTCTCCTCGTCCTCTTCCGAGACTCCGTGGACGTCCCTGACTCGCCTAACTCGCCGGAATGACTCGTTCCCGATCTTCTACTAACCGTTCCCTCTCCCTCGGGATCTGGATTTTCGTTTAATCGCTCATGATCGGAGGCTGTTGAGTTAGACTCGTTCATCGACCGTTGGTTAGACTCAGTCGTTTCCCGGTTTAGCCGTACCGGCTCTGATAGCGATCTAACCGCTTCCAGATCTGGTTTATCATCATCTCCGTCTTCCTCCTCTAACTTCTTAACTTTTAACTGAAGCGACCTAATAAAAAAAAAATTTAAAAAAATTAAAAAAAAATTCAGATCCATCGGCGGAGAAATAGAGACTCTCTCTCTCCGTACAATATTGACTCGTCGCATCGTTGAACCTCTCGTCGGAGCTCCGCCACACGAAGACTCCGTAACTGCTCGACGATTTCTCCTCCGTCGTCGTCGAACCGACGCGTGAGATCTTGATATTTGAGACTGCAGTCATTAGCGGAGGCGGTTAGAGAGCTCCGTGACGTAACCTCCTTGGAGACGGAGTCCCAATCTTTAGAGCCGTGGCGTTTAACGGCGCATGTTAACAGAAGCTCTTCCCACGTTCCCCATACTTGACTGATCTGGTTAACGTCGCCGTTATCAGAAGCACTGCAACTGTTAGTGTTATTAGTGTAGTTGTCGTTCATGCCGTTAGATGTTACTGCGTCGTCTTCTCCGTTCACTAAATCAAAAAAACAACACGCTCGCAGTTTTTAGGGATATTTATTTTAATTTTCAACTTCTTTTTTTATAAAAATATTTGCTTTTGTCTTCTTTTTATTAGATTTTCGAAACCTTTATATACGAAATGAAGATTATTTTATTAGGTCTTCGTATTAGTTATTTCTATCCTCGTCATATGAAATAATATAAGACCCACGTACAAGATTGTCACGTTTGCTTTACCCTTTCTGTGTATATATAACGGATTAGCTCGGTCGTGTCGTGTCGGGTCGGGGCGATGGTTCAAGGAAGAGAAGAGGAAAGTAGATATATTTACTGGAATACCCCTTTGGTTTATTGGAAATGGAATGTTCGTTTTCAACCTTGTTGGTAAATGTGTGGTTTGGGCATGTAATTCATCGTCTACAAAGAGAGATGGGCTTCTTCAAGCTATGTCTTGGGCATTCAGTGGACCGAACCGGATCCAGTTTAAGGATTTGAACCGAGATTGGCAACCTGGTAATAAGAAGTACTAAAGATTTTTTAAGATATGATCATATGAATAATTTTGATATGAAAATTACATATAAGGTACAGAAGTTGAATATTCGCATTTAATATACACACGAGCGATTGTGTGATAAAGTTACAGACAGGGATTGGTGGGTCGCATGACATGATTTTAGTTTGTTTTTTTTTTTAAAGTTGAACCCATCACTAAATTAATCAACTGATATAATTCGTAGTTTCGTACCCACTCACATACACAAAAGTTAAAGAGTAGGATTCAACGACTCCTCTAATCATATTGTGTTTAGTATGTGACCTTGTTCCCGTAGTTTACTCCTTGACTCAAGACCAATAAACGCAAACGCATGGATGGGGGCTGAACCCTTAAGCCAGTTGATTGACTTGGTTGCCAAAGTTGTGTAAATGAGAAAAATAATAATAAAGAGATGGCTTTTTCTCATGTTCACCATGGATTCAAGTTGATAAAAGATTTAAAAGAAAATCTTTGTTGATTTTGAAAGGAAAACAAATATTCGTCGACATTATCATAAAAGAAATGTCTCCACCGATCCAAAGGAAGATCTAGGGTCATTAGAGAAGGTCAACACATAAATTATTGAAGATTTAAGACTAGATAAGTTTAAGATCTCTGTATCAAATTTTATAGGATTTTATCGGTATCTAGGTTTTGGGATGTTTTTCCAGGTGATCTAATTCTCTTCCAACGATCTAAAACACTTTGAATAGTCAAACTCAAAAGTTTATTCAGTTGTTGACATTATTTTGTTTTGGAACATTTGCACTTTATCATGCATCAAGAAATAAGACCATGTAGCAAGAAGTAAATACCAGGTGACCAGCATGAGCACTAACATTTCCACCTTTACCATCACTAAAATAAAAATTTAATTAGCTTATTAAATATGTTTATGAGACATGTGTTGAAACGAAAACCAACAAAAACCTGTGAATACTCATGAGCTCTTTCATATAAGGACGATGAAATCTCAGCATGTGTACAAAGTTAGCACTATAATCCAAAGAATCATCTAATGCAATGATAGTACAATCCTTAAACATCATGTCATATTAAGTAGACTGTAAATTTAAGTAAGGAAGATAACAATCGCATACCAGAATCTAAAGCATGGAAAATAGCATATAGATCATTTGATTCCATACCATATCAACAATGATGTTCCAACCGGGACAATACCATGTTCTGATTTCAGTTTCTTTAAACGATCCTGAAATAGAAAGAGATTCACTTGATGCATACATAAACAGCCTAACTTAGAAAGATCTCCAACCACTAGAACCAAAAAAATATAAAAAGATACATTTTCAATCAAAGGCAACCAATATCATGTTGTTCTGGAATGATCTCTTGTAGTTTTGAATTCAAATTATCCATTGATATCAACACCACATCTTGAGAATCATTCACAAGATGGAAACATTCTTCCAAAAAACTAAAAAAAAAATTACCAAGTCAAAAGAACTCTGCATCTGAAGCCATCTAAAGGGGTTGCTTTGTGAAGACTGTTTCATCTGCTTATATTAGATCCGATCATCAAAAAGATTATCATCAAGCAAAAATGTTAACACAAAGCTAAAAAACGTTTCAAAGTTGACTCACAACTCGAAACCGAAGCCTTGAATTTGAATTGAAATGCCTGATACGCCATGAAGAAAGATCATTCTTCAAAACTCACACCTGATCACTATTTTTTCCCAAACAAAAATCATCCGTTAAGATCTCATATAACTCTCCTAAGAAGTGAGGGATAAAAGGGAAGCGTGGAGGCTCATTACAAGAAATACAAAAGGTTTCACTCTCATTGCTGAATCGAGAGATTATGATATTATCTGCAACCTTGATGAGAACAGGTACTACAATATACAACATAACCAACTCAAAACTCGGATTCTTCCTACTAAACCGGAACAATAAACTAAATGAACAGCCAAACCAATCTAGTTACATTCGGTTTATGAGATTATATCTCATCAAATTCCTGAAATAAAGTTGTTAATAAATATAGCTGTTTGGTATACACTTAGGGTGTATTTGGCGAGAGTAAAAGAATGTCAAAGCCATTAAAATGCTTATTCCAATGGACGGTTTGAAATTCTTATTTCTCAATTGGTAAATTTTGCCATTGTAGAGAATAAAACTATTGAATGATGTAACCCTTATTAAAAAATAATGAACCTAGATTAATGATTAATTACAGAAACATTTAATACAATGATGTTATCATTATGTCATCCAAAAATAAACTGATTATGTTATTGATTGAGTCATTGAGATATCAAAAAGAGGTTACTGATTGAGATTGGAAGAATACGGCATCAAGAAAGAATCATATAGTTATGATGACTAAGTTAGTAAAGTTACCGTGCAAAGTGACTTATTTATATTTTACTTGATTCCAGTAATCCTATATTATTTCACGAAGAAACAAAACAATTCCATCAACAATCATTCTCGCATTTTTATATATAAACTTGTGCACCACAAAAGTCAATCACAAATACATCAAAAGAATCAATGCGCGCACGCGTGAGTACAACGTGTTACACCAATTTGAAGTTGAGTTTTTGCATAAACTCAAACTTACTTCTCGTGGCAAAATCAGTCACCAAGTTTAACTCTTCAATAAACACTCTTTCTTGGCAAAGTCAATATACCAAGTTATATCAAAGGGCACCCAAAAAAATCCAAACATGTGTATATATATACAAATTATGTATATACCCCGTATCGATACGATGATGGTCGTCTCGAGTGGGCTTCAAGATGGTCAATGTCTCAAACCATGTCTTCTTACATCCCAAGTCGAACGTATGATTAAGTGCAATAGGAATCACAGTTTTGGTAGAAACCCTAAATATTAGGGCAAAGTGTGATTACTTTTAGTTATTGCACTTGAAGATCAAACCATCGACTTGAGAATATGTTGTCGTCTTCATCAAGGTCAATCAAACCATCTAAATCAAAGTAAGTGTCTGTGTTCGAACCTGATCCCCATTCTTCTTTCACCACGTGGCTCCCTATGATACTGTTGACTAGCCCCGCCGTATGATCTTGACCGGATTCTTGAGGTGGAGGTGGTGGCGCAGGAATATTTGTCTTTTTCTTAGAATTGGTTTTGGTGATCTCCGGTTTTCCGGTCAGACTTTGGACGAGTGTACGGAAGTTCTTTACGTCTGTGTTGATAATCTCCGGTGCAAATATGTGAATGATACGAATCTTAGGCTTGATCTTGGTGATAATTTGGGAGTTCTTGTTCATGGGAACCAAAGTTTTTGAGTAATCTCCATAAATACTTTGATGAGGAAGATGATCAAGATCGTACTCAGCCTTCATTGAATTTCTCACCATTTAGACAAAATAAAATTTTTGGGTTTTGTTTGGATTGGATTTGAAGTTTCTTGTATTGTTTAAAGATATAATATGCAAATGTTTTGGATTATCTGCGCATGTATATATACACAAAAAGTTGTGGATATGACGACATGGTATACAATTGAATACAATATTGTTTTTCGTTGGTCAAAAAACATTAATAGAAGAAACATTTATTAACTACAAACTGAATATGAAAATACTCGGAAGTACAGGACGAAACAGCTATGGAACCTGCCCTCCATTACACACATAATCACAACATGGTTTGAATAAATTGTGATCTTTCCAAGAGAATGTATCTTTTACGCTGACTAAAAAAAAAAAAAAAAAGCATAAAAGTATATGGCGTACGTGAGCGATGTTTTATCTATGATTAGGTGGGGTTGACATAGCTTACGGACTTTACCAAAGGGTTCGAATTTGACTTTGTTTTATTAACAAATTTGTTAACTGTCGGCATAATCAATATTACCTCTTGGCTTCTGAAAATAGGGTTACTTCTACTTGTAAATGAAATTGTTATTTTAAGTAACTTTTCAAGGGAATATGAAATTGTTTACTGTCTACGGTAAACATCATCTTGTGTTTATAGTGATGTCTGCAACGTGGACTTTCATTATTCTATTGGAGATGGATTAGATAAAACCGGCCAAAAAGCTATTTCTATGTTTAACTTAATAGACACGACAGACACTCGTCACACGTGATATGTGCTTCAACGATCTGCAAGTGCAAGTCATTTTGTTTAGATTTTTAATATTTATTCCATTATATTAACTATTCGAAGTTCAAACAAAGATAAACAGCCGGTAATCATACGGAGGGGTCACTTAATTTCACTAGCCAAAACTAGTAAAACGTTATTTTTTTTTTTATTCACTACTTGAATGTTGTATCAACCTGTTAAAGGTCAAATTCATTTAATTCTTTCTAGGAATTATGCGTGTTAATTTGGTTTAAAGAGATTTGACATTTTTATGTAAGTGTGTATGATATAAAAACATATTTCTTCAGTCTTTGTTTAATGTTTATACGCGGGATTGCAGACTTCATCTCCTCAATCCTCACACTTACAGAAAACAAATAAATAATCTCTACTCTAAGAAGTTGACACCATGTATATATACTGTTGTGGTGTGGCCAGCTAATTCACTGGTTATGCCCGGATTCAAGAACCTTACTAAAGTCATGCTTGGGCACTACTCAATTCTTTCGACTAGCTAAGATGTCTTAAAAGTTGTACATGAGCTTCATCAAATCCTATAATCCCACCATCTTATTTTTGTACCGTTTGGTGTTTTTGTTCTTTGGTGCAACCGATTTTATTTTTTGTTTCTTGAAGACAAATACTTCATCAACAATTGTTTGGTTCCTTTTTTTTTTGATTAATCAGGAGGTGATCCGGCGGCCATGATCAACCGACTAATTTCTCTGAATTCGAAACCAGCCTGCGTCTATACCCTCTAGAGGGCCTAAATCATTGTGGCCAGCGCGTATCGAATCCGTATCGGAGCTTTATGCTCCCTCAAGACTACTAAGCCAATTCGCGTTGGTTTGGTTCCCTTTTTTGGTATATAGGAATCGTTAAAGAAGCTGAAGTCCAAGTAAACTACTGAAATATTTTCAATAATATACAAAAAGAAAACAATCAAAATAAAATAAGACTGAAAAACAAAATGGGAATTTAGAATGATTTTTTGTTGTTGTTGAGATTTGTTTGATCTACATTCCAATGAAAATGTTAGAACAATCATTACCTCTAACGTTTTATTTAATCAATTATTGCAGATTTGACTAGAAAACAAGAACTCTCGTTCATGTAACATAACCAAGAACCAAAATTAAAACGCCGAATCCGTAAAAAAAAAAAAAAACACACGCGCTTTATTTCCATTTTCAAACTATTAAAAAACAACAAAACACGCGCCGTCACGCTCCCTTCATCAATCAATCCCTCTCCCTTCTCATCATCGCACTCTCCAAACCCGTAACCGTCCGCGCCAGATTCCTCTCCATCTCCCCCACGCCCAATCTCATCTGCTCATGCCTCCGCGCCAGCCTCCTCAACGCGTTCCTAATCCCGAGCCAATCGTCCTCCTCCTCTTCCCCGTCCACGATCGTCATCGCCAGATCCGATAATCTGACGGTTTCGCCTCTCTTCTCCGCGGCGGGGAGCTCGAATCGGCAGAGAGGACAGGAGTTGTGATCCGTTAGCCACGGGACGATGCAATCGGAGTGGTAGATGTGGTTACACGGTAGTCGCTTCGCGGATTCTCCGACGGTGAAATCTTCTTTACACACGGCGCAGAGGGAGACGGAATCGGAATCATCTTCCGTTGAACAGATCATGGAGGATGAGATCTGGATCGTTGGAATCGAATCGATATCGGAAGATTTCAAAAAGGAGGAAGAGGAGGAGGAGGAGGATCCGTTCTCCGAGGCGAGATGGCGGAGGAGACGGTGGAGGTAAGGACTATCGAGGAGGAAGTTATCATCGGAATTAACCGTTGGATCAACGAAACACCAATCCTCTTCCTCTTCCTCTTCCTCATCATCGTCACCGATTGTAACGTCGAATAGAGTGGGAGATGATGATGATGATGACACGTCATCGATTCGTTCAAGGAAACCGAGGCTACATTGAGGACATAGGAAGGGAGATGATGGTGATGAAGGGAGGAGGGAGATACTCATATCGCATTCGTGACACCAGTACGTTCTCTGATCAGGCTCGGTGGTTGTTGTGGTGGTGGTTGTTGTTGTTGTGGTGGTGGAAGAAGACATTGAGAAGTGGTGGTGGTTGTGAGAGAAGGAGAGAGAGAGAGGAGAAAAAAAGGAAATGTTTTAGTGGTTGTGGTTTGTATAGAGAGAGTGATAATGGATTCATGATTGGTTAGAAGCCTCTGTGAAGGCCCCTTAAAATTTGTTTTTATTGGGCCCACCATTGTTACTTGGCTTTATGTGGAAGATTTGGTGAGATGTCTCTCTATTATTTTATTCTCTAAAGTCTTTTGAGTCTTGCATTGCTTGCTTGCTGCTGCTATATTGTTTTCTCTGAATACAGTACTCTTTAATTTTCCTTTTTTTTTTACAAAATTTTCATATCGAAATGTAATATTGTTGTTTTGTGAAATTGTTTGTATTGATATAATACTGTCACAATCTAGATCGGTTAAAAAATAATAATATAAATCTAGATATAATGTAACGTAAGTATCATTGTATTGTTGATAAAGATGAACTACGCAGTAACGCAAATGATAATTACGCTGCTAGTTATAAAACACTGGATGGTCTTGTGGTTAACAATAAATTAAGTATTTTTCATCAGAGGAAGGGTTTAAAGTTTAAACTATAAAGTATGATACTATGATCTATCCACATTTTTTTTTATCTAAGCATAGTAGTTATTAAAACAAGCCAAATAATTTAATATGCTAGTTAAAGCAAAAGTCGCTTTGGCCGAGTGGTTAAGGCGTGTGCCTGCTAAGTACATGGGGTTTCCCCGCGAGAGTTCGAATCTCTCAGGCGACGACTTATTTTTTTGTTACATTGTGATGATCACATGGTATGTTGTATCCGGAGAGCTCGAGAAGGATAAGGAGATGTTCAGAGAGATGACAAGAAAAGGGCAGTTGCTGAATGTTTTCACATACATGGCGGGAGAGTTCAGAGAAGCATGTCGGATGCTAAAGGAGATGGAGTCAAGATGGTGTAACCCAAATTTTGTAGTGTATTATACATTGGTCAGCTGTTTAAGAAAGGCAGGGAAGCTTATAGAGACTCGCAAGGTGATAAGAGACATGTGGTGAAGAAAGGACATTACGTTCATTTACATTAGCTCCAAAATTGATGAAAGTTTCTGTTAATTGAGGTTATTGTTTCTCTCATTTACTGATTCTTTTGCTCTTTTCGACAAGGAAACAGAAGTGGTTCACTGATAAGAGTAATTAAATAGAAAATGTATATACTGTATTTATAGTGTATGGGACAATAAATGAATTTGAGTCATAATATTTTGCAATACGGTTATCCCATCAATAAATTCTCTCTAAAATATCACCTTACCAACAACAGAGACGTGGTTAATGAGCGTCGTTGGATATCGAATGTCGTTGCGCGTGGTGTTTTGGAAGTTGACCTTACTTTTATGCCCTTTTGGATGGGCCTTGTAGATATTGATAAGGTTCACGGGGACTGCCTTCTTCCTTATGACCTCCTCAGGAGCAAGACACTGGTTAAGCTGCGTCTCGGAACAGATACTCATATTTTCAAGCTTCCTCGTGATGTATATCTTCCAGCGCTCAAGACTCTGTTCCTAGATACCATTGTGTTTGACGGCCAAGATCTTTGTGATGTGCTTCTTCCTGGTTGTCCAGTGCTTGACAAGTTAACTTTTGTTCACCAGACTTATTTTAACCCTAACAGGATATCAAGTCAGAGCATCAAGAAGCTAATAGTTTTCTATGATTATGATGAGGGGATTGATCATGGCTCTGTTATGTCATTTGAAACCCCAAGTCTTGTCTCTCTAGACTACACTGACTTTGCCTTGTCTGCCTACCCTCTTGTTAACTTTGGGTCTTCCTTACTCGAAGCTAAGCTGGACCTTTCTTATTGTAAAGAAAAGATCAAGAGGCCTGATTTATCGGGTCTCCTTGTAGGGATAAGAAACGTGGAGACCCTCCATCTTTCTCCCAATTCTGCTGATGTAAGTTTTTTTTTTTGCTTACTTTAGATAGTGCTTGGACAGTTCTTGATGCACATGTATGTGTGTGTGCGTGTGTGTGTGTTTCAGGTGATTTCTCGATGTGTTAAACATGGACTATTTTTACTGGTGTTTAAAAACATGGTTAGATTATCTTTTGGGAGTAACCACAAACGAGGTTGGAAACTCCTGCCATATCTGCTTAAGCAGTCTCCAAAGGTTGAAACACTAATCATCCAGGTATTTTTTTTTTTTACTAAGCAAAACACTTATATTATCTGAAGAGACACGTACTTAGTCGTTGCATGCATCTTCCTTCTTGATGCTCCCCCCAGGGTCTGGATGGTTACACAGGCGATGTTACCATTGGTCTGTTCCAAGTCAAGAAGCTGCATGTTGTTGGTTATAGAGGAACTGCTAAAGAGGTTCAACACTTGAAGAGTTTGCTTGCGGGAACTGAATGCATCCCAAGAATGCGAGTGGAGTTCCCTGAAGATGTTATGGTCGATGCTGCCACAATTATTCAAACCCGTAGGGATCTTTTTACCCTTGTTGGAGTTGTTGCAACCGATGTCTCATATTTCGCGTAGATTGCTACTTTCTTATATAGGACTAGCAAATTCGTAATCTGTAGTATACTATTATGCTAACAATATTTTGGTATATTCATCCTAATAAAATCGCAACCAACTAAAGTATTATGCGTATAATCAATTATCATATACGAATTTCAGCTCTAACTTTGTAAGAAGTTATATACATAATATATAGTAAATCCACAAATTCTACTAAGATATTCTTAAGAATAACTTGTGCAACACCAATTATTATTAATCCTATATTTATTTCTATAAATTTATGATATTCTGTACTAACTTATTCTTCAAACATAAACAATCAGACCATTGTATCACTATTAGGTTATCATTAACTAAAACATATAATTTTATAATTAAATAAAAGGAAACAAATCGTGCTCTTTTAAACAGATGATCATAATCTAGTAAACCCCAAAAATCTGAACCAAAGACCTCGCAGGTTTGTCTTTAGCGTAGTTCCATATTGACTAGTAAAGCATGCGAGAAAGGTAAAAAGTTGAAGCTTTAGTTTCTGTTATGGTTTCCTCTGTTCTCTCCGTATGGTTGTGTACTATGTTCTCTCCTTATGGATGGTTTACTCTGTTCTCTCAATATAGTTTACTTTGTTCTCTCCTTATGGTTGTTTTTTTCTGTTCTCTCAATATGTATGGTTAGTTTTACTTTGTTTTCTCCATAGGTTTACTATGTTATTACAAGCGCTCAAAGTGTTATTCTTTTAAGATTTCATTAGATTATAGATGGACTGATTACATGTATCTTTTTTCAACAAGAGAAAAGTGACCCCACGTACCTGAATGAATGATAAGGTCTAGGCCTTCAGAGTGATGAAAAAAATTGGCAAACAATGACCAAAATAAAAAGTCTGCCCATAATTGACAAGAGACTCAAGAACCCTACGTGTCATTTAATGAGACAACTGCAGTTGTTGTAAAAGGTGCCTCTGACAATTTGAAGGTCTAGATTTCGATTAATAGTTTTAAGATTTACCAAAATAGAGAAGATTTCTGAAGGACAGAGAAGAGAGTGTGACTGAATAATCCGGTGTGCTTAGCGGAGGCATAGCAGTACCATTGAAATTTTGTGCATCTGATGTTGAGAGGATTCTTTGTTTCCTAGTGCTGTCAGTACAGCCTGAGACATTGAATAAGAACAAGTGCTGCCATGAAGACCCACTCTCTGATAGTAGCTTCGTTGGGTAGAAGATTCACTCAAAAACTTTGAGTTCAACAAAGGTTGCAAATGAGAAACAAAACAAGTGAACAAAAATTGTACACTGTATGAGTAAAATATGATCAATGTAGTGATATGAAAGTTATTTACTCTCTCTTTTGTTTAAATTTGTATGGTGGTATGATTATGTAACATGATGTTATAGTACTAAGGGATAATGTGGTAGTGGTGTTGATACAATTATGATGGTAAATTATCGTGATGATGATAACAAAGTTGATGATAATAAATAATATTGATCATGACAATATTTACTCATTAGGATCAAAATATCTACTCATTTGATACCAATGTGTATTTCCTATTGAATTTTAGTTAGGCTTTCAATCAATTTTTTCAGTGTGTTTGTTTGAAAAATCTACTAAAACTATGTAATTCAATGTTTAAACAATTCTTTAAATGACTGTCGATATAAATATTAAGAAATTTTGGATTTAGAACTTAAAATCTATTTGACCAAGAACATTAAATAATTTGAATCTAATTAACCGATAAGAACATCTCAAAGTTCATGGTCATATAAACAACTAAAAAAGAAGATCAGAATGGTCAATATCACGTTTGCTAAAATCATTTGTGGGGATGACAGCTTTAGAATTCGAAAACAAAACTATTCCAATTTGATCACAAAATCGAGTAAAACTACAGCAATGTAGAAGCTCAACCCAACCAAAAGAAGAAAATTGCAGGCATACCTAACAGAAGCGGCATTGCCAACAAAGATCTCTTGGAATCCAAGACCAAGGATACAATCAATTTAGCTAGAACAAATGTTATACCAGGCTCCTTGATTTCCTCAATAAACTTCTGATAAGATATCAATGATAAAAAAGGAAGATCAATGAAGCACTTAATTAATTGAGAAACATTAAGAGTTGATACATGGCTTCCAAGGCATATGGGATTTGAAGCACTTTCCGTACTAGGCTGGCTTGAAGCAGACGTTTTACACCTCTTATGTGCTTAGATCGCTCAGACTTTTCTTTGTTCTCTGGAGATGTCTTCTCTACTGGGATAGAGGCTGTGCTAACTTCTGATCCTTTCACTCCAGGAACAGCTGGTTTGTAATGAAGCCAGTAAATAGCTAGCTGGGGCTCAAGGGTAGAGTTCTCAGGGATAGAGTAGAGAGTTATCCTGAAGAATCATGTGTGCTTAACTCATGAATAATCGTTCCAATGAAATCGTTTACACCTGATGTTGGATTGATTATTTCTCTCGTAGCGGCTCCAATAAGACCCGAGAGCTCGGCTAGGAACAGGTGTTGAGGTGAATACTCATTCTCTCACTGCTTCATTGAGACGAATGTTGAAGTCAAATACCTCTGGTTGCAACCAGAAGGCCTTTGAAAAAAAACTATAAGAGGGGGGAGCAGTCTCCAGCAGCCGTTGTCATTGTTGATGGCCTGGATGAAATGTACGCAAAGCTAGTGTCTCTCAAGTGTGTGCTAGGAAAGCGTATGGATCAACATACACACTATGGCCTTCCTCTGCTTCCTCTATTTAAGTCAAATACCCCTGGACCAGTGAACAACTATCGAGAGATTCTTAAGAATAATCGAAAAATACGAAGAGATCATAAGAGAAAACTATTTGGAATCAATTGCATGGATGCAATATCAAGACTGATCTCATATTACTCGAAAATTATTCACGCTATATGTCATCCTATAAGTAAAACATAAGAAACAAAACAAGTGAGCAAAAATTGTTCACAATGAGTAAAATATAACTTCACAAAGATCTCACTACTATCATCATAACACAAATACACAGCAAAGAGATAATAACATAATGAAGAATCACAAGTCTCAGACACCAACAAAACACACTGATCAAACATTTAGGTCTATAAATAGAAACATGAACACACAACGATCGAAGATGTGTCCGTCCATACGTCTAAAGAGAAATCAATTTTACCCCCGTTTGAGAGAGAATCAATGGAATCAGGAGAGAGAGGGACGCCGAATCAAGGGGGAGAGAGAGAGAGAGAGAGAGAGAGAGAGAGAGAGAGAGAGAGAGAGAGAGAGAGAGAGAGAGAGAGAG